CCTGGTGTCTTCTATCTAGCAATAATAATTTAACCTGCTGTTTTCTATCTGACAATCAATAATGATTTAGATTCTCTCATCCTGCGACAGAAAAGTTCTATTGTGAATTAGATGAATGTCATGAGTCAAGAACTTCTTTGTTTTTGAAATAACAAAAGTTCGTGAAATAAAAAAAGCTTTTAATAAAGTCTGATATGCTGGCCTTCACTTATAAGTGAAAACCAGCACTAATCACACTTAAAAGTGTGAATGGGAAATTTTGTGAATCAAGTTATTAAATTTGTTTAAAATTGTTTAAAAATTGTTCTTGATGAACAACACTCTGCTTTATTCCTAGTAACTTCTGTGGTACAATTCTGATAACTTTAAATAGTGGTTCTCTTTTTGCAGTCTTTTTGGAAACAAGATGATTTAAAAAAAGAAAAAGATTGGAGCACAAAAACTAAAACAACATTTAAAAACAGACCTGCTAATCCCTGCTCGAGGAAAGACAAATGAGGAAAGATTAGATTTCAAATTTCATCAAATATATTTTGAAATACATATAAAGGACTACTTATGTGTTTAGTACATATTTTTAACAATACATAACAAAAGGACTAACAGGTGCAACATATTGCATAGAATATTTCAAATAAAGTTAACTTCTCCCTCATTTTTCGCACATTAGTAAAAGTTTTAGTAAAAAGTTTAAAACATACAATGTATAAAACATAAAATATGTATGTAGACATATGTAACAATTTTATTATTAACTTTATTAAAACAATTTGCAAAAACATAAAACATTTGTAGATTGATTTTCGTATGTTATTACATAACATACGTATGTTATTACATAACATACGTATGTTATTACATAACATACGTATGTTATTACATAACATACGTATGTTATTACATAACATACGTATGTTATTACATAACATACGTATGTTATTACATAACATACGTATGTTATTACATAACATACGTATGTTATTACATAACATACATATGTTATTACATAACATATACATAACTTACCTGAATATCAATCACACATTGTTGCTCATAACTATCTGTTAAAAATGAAGGTCCGATGACATCAAGACAAGCTTTACCAGCCATTGAATTCCTAATTCTGTTTTTGCAAACTTCTATTGCTTGATTTTCTGTTATACCAGATGCAGTTGGAAAACTTGTAATATTACCTGAAACTTGAACAGGGTTGTAATCATAAATTTCTGTATTACCATCATCAGGAAGTACAATTACGTTGTTATCTAAAGATCTGCGTTTACGTCGCCCGCAGTGTTTTGCTCCTAAAATAAAACTTCAAACAGTTTAACCAATAATATAGTAATTAATACGCATTATTTATTATGCAAGTTAATGCATGTAAAAATAAAAACCAAATAAATCAACTGAAACAACTATAATACCAGGAAATTCCAACGTTTTCCAACCAATTATTCCATTTATGTATTTGGGACGATCAACATACCCTTCAAAATCACAATTGACTTTTCTTTGAGACCCACAACAATATTCACTACAAATACAATATGTTTTCGCTCTTGTTGCTGTACATTTTCTTGGCCCTCCTCTGAAGTAAAACAAATTCTCTTCAGAAGCACCCAGTCTACACCAAAAAAAACAAAAACATCATTAAGAGACATCAAGTCTTTAAGATAAAAAAAACCTAAAAATTTAAACAAATGAAATTACACAAACATGTAAACAATGTATATAAAGAGCCTAAAGAACAAAAACATAAAAAAAATTATAAACAATTTAAAAGTGCAAGAATTACTTCCAACTTTCAGAAAACTCTTGTTTGGCAAACCATCCTCTTCCTATTGAATATATTTTCCCATCTTTTGCCATCATATCATTGCATTGGTCATTGTCAAAAGTTCCACATAAACCTTGAGTTTTTTTAAAGTCATCAGGTGGTAGCTGAATTTCAATATTTGCAAAGTGATTTCTCCAGTATTGAGTGGTAAATTTTATAAAAGCCCCAGATGGAAATGATATCTTAAAATATTTTTAAAAATAATATCAGAATGGAACTAAAGCACAATTAACTGAAATTTTTTTATTCATTTAATTTCTAAGCATAACTCTTTCATTCAAGAATAAATTTTTTTATAACCATTCATTAAAAACATTTTTTTTTTGAAAATCAAAAAAAAAAAAAAAAAAGGAAAAAAAAAAGAAAATAAAGTTGCTGAGTTTTTTATTTAAATGCATTAGACATCATTGGTCAAAATAAAATCATATTATAACTCTATTTGCATATTTAACAATACAACAATTAGTTACAGAATAATATACTTATATTAAAAGCATGATATTAATAGTCAATATTTATTATATATTTAAATTAGGAAAAAAAAATAAAAAATATTTATTTTTTCCTAATTTGAATAGACTATAAATATTGAAAAAATAAGATTTTTTTATATCTAGGTTGACAAATTTATTTCAAATTTCTTTTAGAGGATTCTCAGAAAATTTTACAATGAAAAATTAAAACAGAATAGTAGTATGACTAAAATGAAATTTTAGTCATACTACTAATTTTATTTGTATGACGAATTAAGAAATCTAAACATTCTGTAAAAAAGGTTATGCATTTTTATTGTTAATGTTTTGTAGTATGCCTATTAACATAATCTCAGATTAAATTTTAAAATTTTTCAAACAGATTAGAGACTAAGATTGTAATAAACAAGAACAAAATAGAGGTTGTTGCTATGTTTCCTTTTAAGTTATACTTTAGATAAGTTTCAGGAAAACATCGTCAATAATAAAGCACCTGCAACAAAAGCAACAACAACAAAAAAAAAAACAGAAAAAATTACTGTTCAACAAAAGAAAATATAAGTATGTCTAGTTGAATCCAACTGTTAAACTTTAACCCTCTGCAATAAACATCAATTATTAAAAAAAAAAGAATGAAACAAAGTATTAAAAGCGAAAATGGAAAATCACACATAAGACAAAAAAAAGATAATGTACCGAATAAAAGTTCAAAATGCAGGAAGCAGAACCAATTTAAAAAAAGAAAATATATATATATATATATATATATATATATATATATATATATATATATACATATAATAAAATAAATTATTGGAGAATTTAAAAATCACTAAAATAATTTCAAAACTATTCTTAATTTAATTCTTACTAATACTAATTTTTTATTTTTATTTAGTTCAATAAAAAAACAAGTAATTTAAATTGTTTTATTTTTATTTTTGTTTAAATAATAAAAAAACAAATATATTTGAAAGTTTAAAGACTTTTTTATTAACAAATTAAGTTTACAATTACAAAAAAATAAAACTTTATTTAAAAACCTTTTATTTTTTTTGTGTCAGCAAGTCAATTTAATTGGCATTATATTGACAAAGAAAAAAATTTATTACCAAGAATGTTTTTCCATTATTATCCCTTGTTAATGATGTTCCTGATTGAGGTTCTACAGTGCTGGCAAAACGAGCTCTAGGTATATTGTCTCTACACATATCAATTACTATTACATCATCACCTTCTTGTGCCGCTACACCACAGTTACATGAAACTGATTGGCTACAAGCAAAAGTTCGAGCATGCACCTATAATAATTAACATACACAAAATATAACAAATTAATTAAATGAAATTAATGACACTAATTAAGATTAGTAATATATAACAAATTCAAAAAAATTAGAAAAACTAACCATCGTGAATGAACATGAAAATATCATTGAAAAATTAACAGTTGGTGCACTATATTATTGAATCAAATTTTTAGATTATTATTTTTGGGTTTTATGGATATTAGGTAAATGGTCATTTAAAAAATTATATATGAATACTGCAGACACAATTTTGGCTAATGGTAAAGCAAAAATATAATGCATAATAAATTTATATTCAGTGACAGGTAATTATTGACTAAAAAAAGGCTCATTATTAAAGAAAGGCTATCCATTAAAGAAAGGCTATCCATAAATGAAAGGCTATCCATTAAAAAGAGGCTCTCCAATAAAAAGAGGCCATTAAAGAGAGGCTGAAGGTAAACATACTGAACAACTATTTTAACTATTTGTTTTAATTATGAAAATTAAACAAGTAAAAAAACAACATTTAAAAACAATCGATTTTTTATTTTAATAAGAAAAAACAAATGCAATTAACTTATATTAATGAAATGTATTCTGAAAGTTTCTCAGTTTCAAATATTGTTTTAATTAAGAATATTTGTCTTAATTGAATCTTTGTTTACATATAAAATATATTTAAATATACTTAATCTTTTCTTTTGAAACAGATGAACAGAAAGTATTGAGACATATTCAATAAAAATGTTAGTCTAAAATCTAAGTAAACTTATAAATAATAATTTTTAAGTTAATAAAACTAGAATCAAAATCTAAATATCTAAGGTTACCAAAACAAGACTTGAAGCATGAACAAGATATAAAAAAAAAAATGTAATCATTAATCAGCTGCAAAAACAGTTATTTCCTTTACAATTAGGTTTAAGAAACATACTTCAAAGTAATAACTTTAATACTCGACATATATTACCTTTAATACAACAGACCAAAAATAGTTCTAGTCAGTTTTTGACATATCAAAAAATGTAATTTACTGTTATTGAACATTTTCTTATTCATTATAACTGACCTCCAAAATAAACTTGTAATGAGGATTCTTTGATACCATTTTGTTTTATACATTTTAATAGAGGTTTTACACACTTATATAGTAACTTATTTGAGTTTTAGTCAGTTTTATATCAGTATTAAAGCTTAATCAGTAATTATAGCTTACTCAGGAACTTGGTCTGCTATTATTGTATTACTACTGATGAGATACAGAAGTAGTATCTTCTGAAAAATGTGGAAAAAATTTAAAGGAACTTAAAAATATGTAGTTTTGTAATGTAATTTTTTGTAACGTAAATTTGAACTTTTAGTCGTATTAAAAAAGTCACTAAAATTCATTATACAAGTCAAAAACTTGTTCTGTAAACAAATCTTAATAATCTTGATAAAATTTTGTGTCACATTAAATTTAGTTAACAAAAGAAAATAGTAAAAATTTTCATACTTATATACTATATTTTGAATTTAAAATAAAACCTTTACCTTGAAATTTCGTGCTGTACTTTGAACTAAAACATAATCTCCAACATAATAATGACTGTAGTAAAACTGATCAAATGTTGTGAAGTGAGGATCACCAGAAGATGTACATCGTGCTGTTTTAACATCAACTGTTTTAATCTAAAATAAAATTATATAAAGTTTTATAACTTTAAAAAAAAAAATCTTTTAGTAATTATAGTTATTATAGAGTTAGTATAGTTGACTGGTAGAGTTATTATATGTAAGTGTATAGTTGACTGGTAGAATTGTTATATGTAAGTGTATAGTAGACTGGTAGAGTTATTATATGTAAGTGTATAGTAGACTGGTAGAGTTATTATATGTAAGTGTATAGTAGACTGGTAGAATTATTATATGTAAGTGTATAGTAGACTGGTAAAACAGATCTATGACAAATGTAAACTATATTCATTAGTGAAAAAAAACTACTAGATATCATAAATAGTTCAAAACAAGTTCCCATAAAAAATTCAAAACAAATTGTAACTACAATGTAAGAATTTAAATAAAACAGCTGTCATCTACAGGGATACGAAGTCAGAGTTGGGAGTCCTGAACCTGTAGAAAAAAAACTTTTTTTAATGTCTTACTTATTTCTTAAAAAAAGTAACAAGCAAAACGTCTTTAATACTTGCTAATATAATAAATTAAGTTGCGGATTTAAACTTGTTTTTTAAACTTCCTTTTATAAAAAATGCCAAAGATGGCAACTTTTATGATGTCATGCTAACTCTTGATAAGATAGCGGTAAAATATTTTTTTTTAAAAATTCTAAATTTTATCATTGTATAAGTTAGGGTTAGCCTTGCATTTTTTCATCTTTCAATTTTTAAGATTTTTGTATATTATCACAGCAGAGTTTAGCCAGGTTTCGGTGAGTCACAGTTTGATTTAGAATTAAGTTTTATGCAAGAAAATATTTATCTGTTGAAAAATTCTTTTTACAAAATATTTGAATTTTTTTAGTTTCATTGCTTTTGAAAAAAGAATTAAAACTGGCATAAACTATTTTTTTAATTTATGGTAATGCAAATTGTTCAATGTTTTCTGAACAAGAAGCATATTAATATGGCAAATTATATACTTTTTTCATATAATTATAATAACTATAATATTTATATGAAAAAAGTAAAGAAAAGTTTGTTTTGGAATAGACTTACAAAGACCTGTATTTTAACCGGTCCAATCTCAGTTAGTGATAATGGTTTCCATAAAAATACTTTCATGGGTTGTTATACAAAGACAATATGTTTTTTTTTTTTTTAACTCACCTCCTCAAGGCTGAGAAAGCCACTACAGATGAGGAGGCTACTTAATAACCCTCTCTCAACTCTATAACTCCAAAACACGAACCTTGACAAACAAGGCCGCGGTGCGGAGAAAAAAGTTGAGCGCGGTACTTCCAGGGATGTGGTGGGGATCGAACTCGGAACCTCTTACCACTACACCACTACCGCATTAGAAGCGTATTTAAAAAAGAAAATACTAACAATAACTTGCATCTGTAACTGTCTTGTTTTTTATTATTATATGTTGTTTGCTCATGTTCAACACTTTTACAAAGTGATGGCCACTGTTCAGACATAATTTACAGATATTTTCATCGAATAAAATCGTTAATGGATTTAAAGTAATAAAGTTTTTATTTTTTTATTTTTTTAATAAATAGAAACTACAATTTACAGCATAAATAATGTTTTTTAAAGTGCATCTTCAAGATATTTTAAATGGTTTTTAAAAGACTAAAATTTAATAAATTAATGCATTAAAAAACATAGTTTTTACTTTTCAATTGGACAAAAAGCCATGGTCAATGAATAAAACAATTATAAAATCTGGTGCACATGAAAAAGGTATTTTTCTTCAGACTTCTATTATTTTCATTAATTTTTGATATTAAGTTACTACAGGACAAATTAACTTTTATGCTTTATTCATAAGAGAAAATTTAATAGTACCCTATTTCTTTTTTGGTATTTTCTCATTTGTAAAAACTAAAGATAACAAAATCAAAGTATTTAATAATAAAGAAAAACCTGGAGTCAGGGTTCGGAAATCATTTTTGAACTGGAATGTCCCAAAAAATCAATGTAATTTAATACATCCATGGTCATCTTGATGATTAAAGACTTAAATAAAGAGAGATTTTTGTCAGCTATGTCACTTACATCACTCTATGATCCAAATAATTAAATATATTTAGGAACACTATTAACAACAGCTAATGCTATGTATATATATGTATAATATATGTATAATCAATTTAAACTTTAATTCAAACCCATTACTTGACAATTTTTCAAATGTTTACATCACTATTGCCACCATTACTACCACCAACCCAGTTTCAACCAATAGGAAAATGATCTCTGTTAGCTTTATTAAATATGTCAACTTAGGTCTACAAAAAAACAAGAGAAGTGTTTTGGTAACATCCTAAAATTTTGTTTGAAAATTAAAAAGTTCACATTGTGCACTTGAGCTTGCATGAAATGCCACTGATGATGACACAGTGAAATTGCAATCTGATAGGGCTTCAGTGCATACACCAATTGAGAGTCTGAAATGATAGAAACTGAATTTTTTTTTTTTCTTTTTATTGTTTTTTAAAGTTGGCATCTTAAAACTTTAAGTGTGAAAACCTAAACTTAAAGTACACTGCACACTTAGGTTTACAAATCCTTAAAAAATATTAAAAATAGTTTTTTAAACTCTTAAGTTTTGCATTGCACTCACACTTACACTGCACACTTGAAAACAAATGTATTGTTATAGTGGAGTACATTTGAAAAAGTCGTAGCTCACCTACCCAATAATTTTAAAAAGTAACAATGTATTACAAAATTTAAATATAAATATTATATATAAGGGTGGGCATTCAGCAGGCAGGTTATTTGAATAAGAATAATTACATCTATTACAATACTTGTTGTTAATTATAACTTTGAGGCAATCAACATGATAAAAAACCTTAAGTTTTTAAAATCATTTGAGAAATTTATTTTTTCAAACCTATCTGTAAAAAGATAACTTTATAAATTTATTCTATAGCGCATATGGATATACATTTACCAACTTATTTTGTTAGTCTAAATCTATACAGTTTTTTGAAAAAAAAAAAAAAAAAAAAAACTTATTGCTGCCCTAACCAAAACCATCAAGTTGATGTATCAGCAACTCCCTTGTATGTTCTTCCTATCTCAGTCAATGTATGTACTCAGTCAATGTATGTACTAAAGCCTTCACAGCTCCCTAATTTAATTGATTTAAATTTAAAGAAAGTGATTACAAATATCAAGAAAGAAGTATCAAAAATTATTATTTCTTTTCATGAAAGATACTATCCAGCCTTTAATTGTAATTATTTCAAGGCTAGGATGGCATTTTGAATCTATATTCAACAAATGTTTTTTTAATTTAAAAGTTGTTAAATAAATTCATAGTGATTAAAATACTTAATGTTACTACAATGTTACATTAAGTAACATTGTAGTTGATAAAATACTAATGTTTTTTTTATCAAATAATCAAGGCAAAATTAATACTTTATCAGTTTTTTACAATCTTTTAATCCTATAAATTAGAATAATAGATCTTAAATTACTTGTATTCAGGGAAGACTGGTAATAAAAAGACCATTAAAAATTTAATTTAATCTTAGGATACTTTTATTTTTCTTGTTGAAAAAAAAAATTTACCTCAACATCAGCAATTCGTTTATGACAATTCCAGTCCATAGGATCTATGTGGTCTGGAATAAACATTTTCAAAAACATACGCTGATTCCCGTCATCCACAAAGTCTCGCTTAGCAACCACCTCAACTTCTTTTGTCTGTCCAGCTGGACCAGGTTTAAATTGCAATGTACAGTAATCTACAAAGTGGTCAGCAGTAGTTTGACCCATTTCAACAAGAACCCTACAATTTTCAGTTCCATCTTCACATACAATAGGTACTGTTGATTTTATAGTGATGTTACTTGGGCTATCTTTTTCTGAAAGAACTAATAGCATTGGATTTACCTAAAAAAAAATATTTTTTAGACTTTTTATTTGTTTTTAAAAATTGTATATTAATATCTCTAATTAAACAGTAAAAACTTGAATGATTCTTAAAGTTACATAAAAATATTTTACAGTTGTAAGTGTAAGTGTAACCTAAATTAATAAACCATCAACTTGAAGAGAATATGAAAAATACATGCATCAACTTTAAGAGAATACATAAAATACATACATAAAATACAACTAAAATAAATTTAACCAATCCAAAACTTTTTATAATTTTAAAACTTAAATCAATACCTATCAAGCAAACACAATCAAATGCAAATCTTAACTCTCATAGAGCTCGAAACAAAACAGTTTATTTTTTGAAAAACAACAACAACAAAAAAACAATGACAAATTTGATTCTGTTTTTAACACTTGGCTGGTTCTATGCTAACTAAGTTATAGAACAATATTTTCAATTTAATAAAATATTAGTATGTTGTATCAGCTCCATAAGCTCTTCAGTTCAACTAAATCTTCAAACATCAACTACATTTTTAGGCAAGATGACTAATTTTAATAAATTAAGAGCTGCCTTTTGCAATGTTAAAGTTAAGAATAAGGAAACAGATAGTTGACTATTATATTGATATCTCATAGAGAGATGATCAAGCTTAGGATAAAATTTCTCTACTACCTCTCTCATCTGTTGCTATCGTAAGAAGAATAAAGGTTTTACTGAATCCAGACATCAGTGATGCATGCTAAAACTTTTGTCCTTTTTTAGCCTTCCTTTTGTTTCTTATGAAGTCTAAAGCTTGTAATATCTGTTAATTCATTTTCTACTTGTGGATCTGCATGGCTCCAGTCAAAACAAGGATCTCTCTTTGAGATCTTTCACTCTATATAATAACAACTATTGAGAATAGTTGATTTCTTTGTGATTTTAATGACCCTAATAATGTTGCACAAATGTGCAACATTATTAGGGTCACTCTTCTTTGTTTTTAAATCAATTATTATTTAAGTAAATTAAAATCTAAAAACACTAGTTATTTTAGATTTTATTCTTTTTATCGAAACAATCAAAAGTGAAACAAGTAGAAACAATCAAAAGTGTTTTGATTGTTTCTACTTTTTTAATAACATTTGTCACAACTACAGTTGCATCTCAATTGAGTAGTATATCTATAAATGTTGGCAGTTTTTTATTACTTTTGTTTTACACAATTAATTCATATTTACTTTTTATAATTTAAAATGTTTTAAAATAAATTCACCTGAAGCTTTAAAAGTTGGCAATAATTCTGAACATATAAAATATCAATAAACAGTTGGAAAATTAATTGTTTGTAAATTTTTGTTATTTTTTATTTATAGTGACTTTTTTTAGATATATAGTAATAGTATGCTATTACTATATATTAATCACCTAAATCACCATAAGGAAGAACAATAGGCGAGCATAAAATAGAAGCAATGTTTTCATCTATAAAAACACTTAAGTTATTAAGTATAAAAGTTATTTTTTATAAGACCACCTTGTAAAATAAGATTTTATATAACTTTAATGCAAATGATAGTAAAATTTGTATTAAATAAGATAATTTCAAAAAAAAAAAAATACTTTCAAAGATAATTTAAAAAAAAGATTAAAAGAAAAAAAGAAAACTAAGTTACAAAGAAAACTGAATACCTGAAGTCCTGCAAAAAACTCATTACTTTTCCTTGGTTGACTTTTTATTCCTTTATTTTCAATATAATATGATTGAACTTTGCAATAAATCTAATCAAAATAATTTGAAAAAATTCATAGACAATTATATATAGTTATTGAAAATTTAAAGTACTTTACATTTCACTAATCTAAATTGCATTGAACTATTTTAATGCAATTTAATGATATTTTAAGTATTTTTATGCATTAATATCTGAGTTTTTCTAAACTTATGTCCTGGATATTTATTTATAATTTATTTAGATATTTATATTTAAGTTAATGTCCTAGATTTTGTCCTAGATAGATATTAGTTAATATGAAAAAATAATTAAAAAAAAAAAGCAAATGCTTATTTAAAAATAAAAAGAAGTTTGAGAAAAAACTTTATTGTAATGAATATTGACAACTGATCTTTCAACAATGGCTAATTTTAGATTCATACTTAAATTTCTGCTATATTATAGTTTTTTGTAAAATAATCACACATTTTTAAATATAGAACTTTAACATTTATTTTAATCAACTATTTTCAAACTATCATGCCAGAGATGAAAATTCTTGTAAAAGATATTTTTAATTTGATCCTAATTTAAAAAAGATTTACCTAAAATTAAATTTTAAATAAACCATAAATAAGGCTTACATTATAACCCATGCAAAATGTACCATTCTTTCCATATTTATTAGTATTTTGAAGAAAGGCTTCATTTTGATCACTTGTAAAAGTATCAGGACCTTTTATTTGCTTTTCTACAGGTCCTTGAAACCATGTCACTTCATATCGTACATTACTTTCTTTTACAGTGTGAAACTTGCAAATGAACCTTAATCTTTTATCTTTTACACCAACAGTGACTACTGGATCTTTTTCAACCTCAGGAATTTTTTCTATAAAAAGACAAAACTTTGAGAATATTTTCTATAAAAATAAAATTATATACATAAAAATTTTTGTTTTGAAAAAATCTGTACCTCTATGTTTTATAAAAAGTAAATACAATAATGAAACTAAAACTTTGTTTTAACCAAAATAATGAAAATAAAACTTTATTTTTACATCGAACTGCACTTGAAATGCACAAAAACATCCCCTTGAACTGCACTTGAAATGCACAAAAACATCCCCTTAAATTGCGCCCTTTTAAACTTATTAAAAAGCTTTAAATACTTTCAAAAATGCAACATTCAAATTAATGTTTGAGGGTTTATTAAATTTCATCTTTCTAATTATTAAACCCAGAGTCAATTACTAACCAGGAGATATGCAGAGGTAAAGTATTTATAATTTCGACAAATTTTTAAAAAATTTTAATTTATTTCTTTGCTTTTAAAACCAAGGCTCATATTTATAACGTAAAAGCCTTTATATTTTCTATTTCTTTGTTTAAAAATCATAAGTGTTTTTATTCCGATTGCTTACACTTTACATTGAGACAAAAACCTGCAACATCAGGTGCAACATTAGGTGTCATAGTTTAAAAACAAAACTTTATCACACACTAAATTAAGACTATACAAAACAGAGACATGTGTGCTTAAGTATGTTTGTTATGCTCTCTAAATAATTTAAATATTATTCCTGCTAAATTAGACTTAATTTGCAAGAACTCAAAATGTTTCATTAAAAACGACAATCCTTATAAAGAACATTAATTTATGATAATATATGTTATGTCAAAAGAGTATTTTTCTCAAATAAATTTCAAACTACTTCTAAACTTCTTTTTTTGGATAAAAAACAATTTCAAAAATTATTTTAAACAGACAACATTTTCAAATTTTCAAAACATAAATATTTTCCAGCCATGGAGAAGCCTATAATCAATTGAATGAAGTTTAGAAAATCAGATAAATGTGACAGCATTTCAATCTTTATCCTGATAATCTTGAATAGTATTCTTTAATCTCAAAAGTATGAAGATTGTTGTAATGAATGCTTATAAACAAAGAAAAAAAATTAAATTATCAAGACTTTCCATCAGATAATTATGATTGAAGTATGTTAGCATTAATTCATTAAATATTGCATTAATCAATTATTTGCAAAAATTAAAAATTTAATCGTGTGCTACAAGCAACAATTATGTGCTTTACAACTATTTTATTGATTTTAAACAAGTTATTAAAAAACTTTCTGAAAACAATTTATCAAAAAATTATGATGCACTTTATTCAAGTTATTTGAAGAAGTTTTTACAAAACTAGGAACTTTAGTTAGAAATTTTTATATTTCATCATTCACTAAATACAGCTGGTAATCTGAAAGCTTTTATTTTTATTTTAATCAAAATTGTTTTATAATTTTGTATTTTTAAAAGTCTGCAACAAAATAAAATTTCTTGATTCTATCGTAACATAAAATTATAAAAAAATGTTGTACTAAAGACAATTTTGTTTTGTATTGTAGTCTAAACTGAATCGACTATTTTACTACAAAACTTTAGTAAATAAAAATATATTGTATAAAAAAAACCATTAATAACTTGTCAAGAATATTAAATTTATTATTACATATTAAATTTATTCTAAGCTCAACTATGAAAAATCTATTCAAAAAACAAATGTTTAAATGAACCAATTTTCTTAACACCTTATTGAACAAAATAAAATAAATGACATAAATGCATAGTTTGTTAAAAAAACTAAAAAAAAACAATGCTTATTATCAATAACTTCATAAACCTCTGCATTGATCTGAGAGTGTCTCTATTCTTCCATTACTTGTGATAAATCCAGTTTTACATCTACAGTTGTATCCACCAATATAATTGTTGCACATAGCATTAACTGAGCAGTTGTTTGTTGTTTCTGAAGCACATTCATTTATATCTAAAAACCAAACAACATAAATTTATATCTTGACAATGTATGTTTGTTTCTAAAGCACATATTGTATGAGTAAATGTTAAAAAGTAATTCTGTAAAGTAATGGTGATAAATCTATTAATAGTAACTTAACATACCTTCACATAAATCTGAGATTGTTTCTATTCCTATTCCATTACTTGTGTTAAACCCATTTTTACATGTACAGTTGTACCTACCAATAAAATTATTGCATATAGAATTAACTGAGCAATTGTTTGTTGCTTCTGAAGCACATTCATTTATATCTATAAAAGAAATTATATAAATTCATACCATACTAGAAAATATAGAAAAGTAAAATAAACTTATTAGTAGTAACTTAATATACCTGCACATTGATCTGAGAGTGTCTCTATTCCTCCATTACTTGTGCTAAACCCATTTTTACATGTACAGTTGTACCCACCAATAAAATTTTTGCATATAGCATTAACTGAGCAGTTGTTTGATGTTTGCGAAGAACATTTATTTATGTCTATAAATAAAAGAACATAAATTAAAATCTTGTTAGTAAATGATTAAAATAGCTCAGTAAAATTAGCAAAAAATGTCATGTTATCCAGAAAAAGTTAGAAGCAAGTTGAAAATTGCTGGAAATGTTCATGCAATCCTTATAAATTTGGATAAAATAGCCAATTTTGGACTAAAGCTTTGTCTGAAATCCAAGATGGCATCCAAAATGATATTTTTAATATCTCAGCTTTATTCTTTTTATCAAAACAATCAAAAGTGAAACAAGTAGAAACAATCAAAAGTGTTTTGATTGTTTCTACGTTTTTAATAACATTTGTCACAACTACAGTTGCATCTCAATTGAGTAGTATATCTATAAATACCTCATTGATAATTTAGAAATATGATTGTTGCATCTAGTATTATGTTTTTGAGGAAATTCATTTTTTATTTTTGAGCTACAAAGCTAAAAGATGGCAGCCAAGAAGATATTAAAATTATTACACTTTACGCATATGCTTTTTAATAGACTTACTATGTTGTGAGTGTCAGCTCATATCCATTTGAGATTAGAAATTATTTGTTATAAAATTATTTCATATTTGTTATATATCTAAATCAATGTTGAAGATTTAATGTAGCAATTCTTAACTTTTTAATGATTGGAGTACTTTTAACTGTTTAATGATTGGATTGGAGTCCTCTGATGAAATCTAAAAAATAGATTGGATTGGATGAAAACTTCTGAATCTCTGTTTGACCTCTGATGAAAACTTTTCTAAACTAAAATTTAATCTTATAAACAATCATAATAATTAGAATTGTGAATTGTTCTTGTTTCCCTGTGACACTAAAGAAACTTTTCATTCAATTTATTATATTTCTCACCAACTGACTGTGAACATAAAATACTAATTACAGCGTAAACTAAACTTTAATGTCAATTCCCTTGCAGCTTAGAATGCGGAGTTCACAGCATGCTTATAAGTGATTATTTCTCAATTGTAATTCCATTGGGGCTTCAAACACATGTATACAAATCCTTTGTTGCAACATAAACCACAAATTACGCTTTTGCAGTTATTTAGACAAGATTTACAACACAATATAAACTGTTGCCAATCTTTATAAGCATATTAATTGAATTTAATTGACTGAAAAAATTTTGTTTTAGTTTACTAAAATAAATTTTATTAATTTTATCAAAATAGACGTATCAGACGAGTTATGATTAATGTGCAGTATATCTCTCTTTGATGCTGAAGTAGTACTTGTTCAAAGAGGTACGCATATCTTATATACTTTTTCACAAACATAATTATAATATTAGGTCTTCAATTTGTCTTTGATTTTGATTTTGCATGCCATTTACAAATATACAAATGAATATACAAACAATATAACGCCTGGCTATAAATTTATTATTTGTATGAGCAATTATGAAATCATTACTATGAACAATTAACAAATCATTACTGTACTCCAATCTTCTTGAATTAGGATACCATCACAATCATCATCAAGGTCATCTTTCATTATATTGATTACTTCTTCATTTACCTTTACTAAGAGTTCTGAAGATATCTGTTTTCTATTTGGGGACTCGCACTCAGGTCTAAATATTTTAGACAGCTTAGTAGTCAAGTTAAGATTTTCTACTATGTTAAATGGTATATTTATTTATTGAAGCCTTATCAGTGTGTCTTGCCTGATTCTGGAACTCATGTTAAACAGGCACCAGGAGATGTGGATACACTAATTATCAATACAGCAATTAATTTGTCAAGACATAGGTTCAAAAAACCTGTTGTAATTATAGGAGAAGACACAGATCTGCTAGTATTACTTGCGGCTCTAACATATTCAATTACTAATATTTTCATAATAAAACCTAGCAAAGATACTAAGCAAGACAAAGTTTACAGGGCAAACAAGATGAGAAAAGGTTTTGGTGACTGCTCTAGGCAGTTATTGTTTTTAAATGCAATGTCTGGATGTGACTCAACATTATTTTCTTACGGCCAAGGTGAAAAGAAAGCCTTCAAATTGTTGAGCAACAATGTGGATTTATGCAAAGTTGTTGATAAATTAAAAACGCCGGAAGCCAAACATGATGAAATTGCTCATGCCAGAAAATAATATTTCAGTGCAGCAATGGCACAGCAATGGCACAGTCATAACTTCAACTGGAATGGGGTTAGAAAATGATAGGATCAAATCTCTTACCTTATCAAACCTTCAACTGCCAGCACCATAAAATTTGTTACATGTTGTGAGCTGCAACTGCAAAACTGGATACATTAGGAATAGTGAATGTAAAAAAAAATAAATGTAGTTTAGCTATTAAAAATAACACAAAACTTTCTACCAAAATAATAAATTCCTGTAGTAGTTGATTTGCAATTATTGAAAACGGCTTTGAATAGTTATATAATTTGTATTTAGGTGGTATGAATTGCTTATCAATGTGTAGGTCATGCCATGGAACGGATTGCTCAAATCCTGCAAACCAAAATGATGCTGACACATCTGATGAAGATAAAGACTATGACAATGACACAAATGTCAATTGTTCAGATGAAATATAAACAATTTGCAATCTATTATATTAAAGTTTGAGATAATATAATTATGATAATTTTGTAAAATTTTGTAATATGTGTAGTTGAGCTATTGTTCAATACATGATGTGATATAGTTTAAAGTTTACAACTTCTTTATTTAATATTTTACAATAGCATTTTACCTCCAAGCAAATTTCTTAAAGACTTGTATACCCGTGGATTTACTATAAATAATTACTTTGCATACCAATTTGTATAAAAAATTTATTGAAAATTCATATTTGGTATGCTACACTTGTTTCCTCAATGACATATTACAACACACAAAAATTGTTTTTAAAAGTGAAATACAAACTTTCATATTTTAGTTTAGGTGCGGTTTGGACAGTCTTATCTTAAATATTGACAACCATTGTGTTTTTTCACAAAAATAAAATTGTGAAAAATGAATTGCTTGACCTGAAAAACATAATAGTTCATGGAAAAATGGAATTCAATTTGATTAACAACCTGAGATATTGAACATTACAGTTTTAAAACCAATTCAGCCACCATATCCGATTTTGATGACCACTTTGTTTTTTCATTAAAATTAGAAGGTCAGAAATTACTTCCTTGACCTCATAAATGAATAGATACAAAAATTAGGTTTAAAAGTGATCTACAAGCTCAGATATTACAATTTGCAATTTGGATGCTAACTTGGACACAATATTGGATTTCAGATCAAACCCCACTCTTATTTTAGCCAATCGTTCTAATATGAATAAGTGTGCATACAGAACATTCACAGCTATTTTAAGCTTACTCCTTAAACTTAAGTTTTTCCAGATCAAAACCTAATTTGACTGGCCTAAAAAAATAAAAATATTTTAGTTACATCTGCATTGATCTGAGAGTGTTTCTATTCCTAAGAATAAGATACTTTTGTAACAAACTACTTTCTAAGAAAGCATTCTATCAAGATAATCATGCACAATATTGCCTAGTGACTTTGCATTAAACTAGGCCATTGGTTTGTCAATCAGAAATAGCTTTAAAAGCTAAGTAATTTCAAAAAATTTAAATTGTGCTGGCAGAATTAAACCCTGTATCTTGTGTTTAAAAACTCTTGTTATTGCTATCTAAATTTCACAATTATACTTTACAAATTTTAATATAATTTTAATAAAATAACATTTAATAATATACTTAGCATCTTCTACAGACTTTTTATTTTTACAACAAAAATAGTCACACACTTTTATTGAGTACTTAAGTGATTTAGATTAATTTTCAAATAATCTCTTTTTGTAAAAGCATCATACAAAATTTGCCACATAAATTACAAAAACTTTTTTAGATTTCATCCACTAGCACAAGCTCCTAATTTAATGCTACCAGGAATTATATGCAAACCACACACTTTAATCTTAACAGTCAAGCTTTTGATAATAGTCAAACTTTTGATAAAGTTGGTATTTATCTCCAAAAAACCTTGCATCTCACAACTGTCAACTCTGTTGCATCTCACAAATGTCAACTCTGTTGCATCTCACAACTGTCAACTCTGTTGCATCTCACAACTGTCAACTCTGTTGCATCTCACAACTGTCAACTCTGTTGCATCTCACAACTGTCAACTCTGTTGCATCTCACAACTGTCAACTCTGTTGCATCTCACAACTGTCAACTCTGTTGCATCTCACAACTGTCAACTCTGTTGCATCTCACAACTGTCAACTCTGTTGCATCTCACAACTGTCAACTCTGTTGCATCTCACAACTGTCAACTCTGTTGCATCTCACAACTGTCAACTCTGTTGCATCTCACAACTGTCAACTCTGTTGCATCTCACAACTGTCAACTCTGTTGCATCTCACAACTGTCAACTCTGTTGCATCTCACAACTGTCAACTCTGTTGCATCTCACGACTGTCAACTCTGTTGCATCTCACAACTGTCAACTCTGCTGCATCTCACAACTGTCAACTCTGTTGCAGAACAAGATTGTTTAATGACTTATTTTAAAAAAACTACAGAAAATTTGTTTGCTTTTGTAATATTAAAAACCAGGCCGTTTTGATTGTATGTTTTTTAAAGTTGATAAACATTCATAACGAGGTATGTCATTGAACAAATATTACAAAAATAAGGTTGTATTTGGAAATGTTTCTACTTAATATATTTTTATTAATTTATACATTTAATTATTTTCATGTGTTATTTATAAATGTTTATTTTTGTTAAGGTTATATGGGTTTATATTTTGTATGTGTGTTAATATCTTTTATATATGAAGTGTTTCTATGTAACACTGTGTGCTTGTGATGTGTTTTAATGTTATGTGTTTATAGTTTGTAAGTGGTTACTATGTAATTTGCATGGTCTCAAATTGTTGTGACTTGGCTTAGTTTACAGCAAGAATGCTTTCCTTGCTAGCCAAGTAGTGTACTTTGCTATAATGTGATTTGGCTTTTTTGAGAGCAAGAATGTTGTCTGTGCCAGTCAAGTGGTGAACTGTCATGATGAATAGGTGTCAAGATGATTTGGTTTACATTCACATCAGTGTCTTTATTTTAAAATAATTATTGGGTAGTTTCATTACTGAAACTGACTAGATATATTCATTCACTAAAAGCTAAGCATTCAACTTTCAAGTAAAAACAAAGGCTTATCTTATTGTGATTATTTATTTTTAGCCTTGGTTTTTTAAGAGTTGTTAATCCAAACTTGCAACAATAAATCTTGAAACTTCCACAAAAGAAAAACAACCTCATAAATTAAGGTTCTTATTTATTATCTTTTTAGTCACATTTTTGAGCTTTTAAATAAATAAATAGAGTACATAACAAATGAATGTGTAACAAGCCTTTTTAATAAAAATTATAGCAGCCATACACGCGCCTCAGAAACTAGAGATCTAGAGAACCTCGGGGTTCAACCTCGGGGGCAAGTTTCTCCTATTCTATTCTTCGGTAAGGAAGAAAGCGTGAACTTCCTTTTAAATGCTATTCCACTGTTCCTTTGTGATAATACTGAAAGAACTTCTTGGAGCACCTAAAATAACTAATTTAAAGAAATTATAAATTTGCTCCATTTTTAAGGTTGAATTCCTTCTCTTATGTCTGATTTTTAAAATTTCCTTCATAACAGAATTAGGTCTTCTTGGGGCACCTAAATAACAACAACAACAACAACAACAAAAAAAAAAAAAACAGAATTTAAGAAATGTTCTGAATATTGATTGTTTTCTAAAAGCTAAAGCAAAGTTTCATTAATCTTCATAGCATTTACTAAAAGCTATATAATAATGAAACAATGTTATTATTCAAATTACTTTTATAAGTACTTTTGATACTTTTTTATGTTAAATATATTTTTTGTAATTTTTTTTTTGAAGTTTATATTTTTATTTTATCTCAAAAAAAATGTTTTTTGTATCTCAAATAAATATTTATATTTTTAATATTTGGAAATATTATTTTTTATGGATGTATTGGCATTTTTTGCTTTGTTTTTTTTATATATATTTGTATATGTAAATGGAAATCATTTATAGCTTTATCAACTTTGGTACAATTTAGACTGTTTCTATTTGCATTAAGTATTGCTCTTTAGCAAAAACAACATGTTTATTTGCCAAACTTGGCAGTAAAAGCAGCTTAATTGAATGAATTTGTTAACAGTTTTTTTACAGAAAAAATTTTATAAAAAATATCAAACTGATAGTGAAAACTTATTTGAAATATTTAGTTCTCATTGTCCTGTTTTTCAATGTCAAATTTTCCTTTTTAAATAAATCTTCATGAGAGGGTTAATATTTTATTATAGCCTAAGTTTCCAAAAACACCTAAAAAAGGTTAGATAATGTCTTATATGTTAAAAATGTTTTTATTATATAAAAAATGTTGAAGTAAATAAGTACAGTTCTAAAATATAGTAAATTATTTGTTAACTAAAAAACAAGAACTTAAATTGATTAATTTTTTGTCTTTTACTAAAATAAATTAAAATATAGAGACCAAATTAGTAACAAGAAATAGTCAGATAAATGAACTTACCACAACCTGTATCATACGGGTCTTAACAGCTAGTATCGGAGAGACACAGTAAAAAAAAACTCTAAATTGAGATTTCTCTAAAACCACAAATGGTTTTTATTTCTTTAATCTTTTTAATTAAAATTTACTTCCCTATATTTATTGGTGCTGATAAACTTTTGTTTACAAATTAATCATTTGCAAAATGTTTCAGAAACAAATTGAGGTGCGTAAAAAAATTGTGATTTTTTTTTGCAAAAATCCATCAACAACATATTGTTTGATTGGTAAATGTACAAATGTACCAAAATTTACAGTCATAAATATTATAAATAAGTTTAATCCTACTCAAATCTTGGAAAAAAAACCTGGAAGTGAAAAAAAGAAAACTTTCCATAAATTCAAAAAAGTAAAGTCAATTTTACGTTCAATAGCAAGAAATCCAAACAAGTCAAAGCAAGATCTAGCAAGAAAATTCAAGATTTCTTATAACAAAAAAGTACTTAAAAATGCTGGAAATAATAACACAGTAATGGAGGAATAGAGAAAAATACACCTACAATACAAGAGAAGCTTAAATGGTGAAATTAAAGGAATTCGATGCGCAAAGAAGTTGGTTAAAATAATGGCAGATAAAAGTAGGTGCATAATTGAAGTCGACAAAACATATTGCAAGTTGGATTTTTCATAACTTCCTGGTTAACAATTTTACTATGAGAACAAATATAAACCTCTCGATGATCAACTTAAATATATTCAACAAAAATTTTGCATATAAGTTCCTTGTGTGGCAAGCTTTTTGTAGCAGTGGTCTGCAACACTTTTGTTTTGTTACTAAGAAGACCTTGACTGCGCATCTCAACATGAAAGAATACTTTTAAAAAAGACTTTTGCCATTTATGAAAAAACACTAATACCGATATCTCTTTTAGCCAGATCTTGCTGTTCTCACTATTCTGAAAAAGTTCTACAGTGGTGCAAAGATAATAATGTGAAAGTTGTTTGTAAAGATGCAAATCTTCTAAATTGTCCTGAAGAGTGTAAGATTAAAGATTTTCTGAAAATAGTTAAAGGAGTTCTTTGTAACTTTGTAAGACAGGTGGAGTAACAAAAAATAAAAAAGGACTTCAAAAGAAGTGAAATAATGCCACCAAAAAGGAAAAAAAAAAAAAATCTGCGAAATGATGGCATCAACACGCTATAAAATTTGATCTCTTGACAAACAGCCCATTAATCCCCTTAAAATTAAGTTGAAACTCTAATTGATGTAAACACATTTAATAATAGAAAATTGAAAAAAGAAGCATTTAGGTATTTAAAGAAATCTCAATTTAAAGTTAAACGGATTTTTCCATGTCCACCCGACAAATATTTAAAAATTTACAGGTATACAAAAAGTGTTTCATTATCAAAGTTTTGTTGTAATATCTTGCACAAAATATACTGTATGACTGTAATAAAGCAAAATAGATAATGTGACTGTAACAAAACAAAATGTATAATAAGACTATAAAAAAGCATAATATATTATATGACTTTAATAAAGCAAAATAGATAATGTGACTGTAACAAAGCTTTATTCCTAAGAGACTGAAATTGTATGAATTTATCTATAAAAAAACAAAAAATTAAAAAAAGAAATGAGAACTTAAAACCACTTTTAGTTTAATCTAAAAAGAAAACATTTTCATATCTACAGAGCATTACCCAAAAAAAAACATGGACCATTTCGCAAAAATGGCATCTGAACTAAAAACTCAAAAATATATAATACTCAATATTATTAAAGTCCCTAATTTTTTAAAAAAGCAATTGACTTCTATTTAAATATAGTATCTAATATATTGTAGATATAAAATAAACTTATTAGTGGTAACCTAATATACCTCCGCATTGATCCCAGAGTGTCTCTATTCCTCCATTAATCGTGTTAAATCCATTTTTACATGTACATTCGAATCCACCAATAAAGTTCTTGCATATAGCATTAACTGAGCAGTTGTTTGTTGTGTTTGAAGCACATTCATTTATATCTATAAACGAAATGACACAAACTCATCTAGTATATCATTAAATGTAGAAAAGTAAGATAAATTTATTACTTATAACCTAATATTGCTAAGTGACTCTGCCATAAATGCAATCATTGGTTTGTTAATTAGAAAAGGCCTTAAGAACAGATATAACTAAGCAGAAGTTATTTAAAAAATTGAATCATGTATTGTTATTTTGTGTTTATTATTTATAGATATTGCAATTTTGATGTTATAATTTTACTAATGTTTTTCGAAATTATAATAAAATTTTGATAAAACAAAATTTTATTAATAAACTTAACCGCTTTTGCAGACTTTTTATTTTTACAACAAAAACGGACACAAAATTCATAGGAAACCTTTGTGATTTAGAATCATTTTTATTTAAATCTCTTTTTGTGAAAACACCATAAAAAAGTGCCACATAAATTACAAAAACCTTTTCAGATTCAATCATCTATCACAAGCTACTCATTTTATGCTACTACGAATTATATATCAAATCACGTGCTTTATTCTTAACTATATATAGGGTCAACCATTATCTTTAATTTATGTTTTACTGTTGTTGTTTTTTTACATATATAGATACAGAGTAGTAACTGTCTAATAAAACCTGCAATAACTTATCAAGAATTGAAATACCTTATTGAAATGTCTCTACTATCTTTCGATAAGCAGCCAATAAAATACTACAATACTTGACATGCTTAAAGTTTTTCGCTCCTACTAACTATTGCCTTTCTTTCGGCTATTCAATGATTTCCAATTCTTATATATAATTTGAAGAAAAACTAAAATAAATTATCAGTAGAAACTTAATATACCTCCACATAAATCTGACGGTGTCTCTATTCCTCCATTACTTGTGTTAAACCCATTCTTACATGTACAGTTGTACCCACCAACAAAATTGTTACATATAGCATTAACTGAGCAGTTGCTTGTTGTCTCCGAAGCACATTCATTTTTATCTATAAATTAAATTACAAAATCTCATGCCTTGTTAGTAAACGTGAAAAAGTATAACAAAATTTATTAGTAGTAACTCAATATACCTCTGCATAAATCAGCGATTGTCTCTAGCACTCCATTACTTGTGTTAAACCCATTCTTACATGTACAGTTGTACCCGCCAATAAAATTGTTACATATAGCATTAACTGAGCAGTTGTTTGTTGTTTCTGAAGCACATTCATTTATATCTATAAGAGAAATGATATAAAGTCATACCTTGTTCGTAAACGTGAAAAAGTATAATAAATTTATTAGTAGTAACTCAATATACCTCTGCATAAATCAGCGATTGTCTCTAGCACTCCATTACTTGTGTTAAACCCATTATTACATGTACAGTTGTACCCGCCAATAAAATTGTTACATATAGCATTAACAGAGCAGTTGTTTGTTGTTTCTGAAGCACATTCATTTATATCTATAAATTAAATTACAAAAATTCACTATATCTTGTCACTATTGTTGAAAACAAAGAAAAAATTTATTTGTGGTAACTTAACATACCTTGGCATTGATCTGAGGGTGTCTCTATTCCTCCACTACTAGATTTAAACCCATTTTTACATGTACAGTTGTACCAACCAATGTAATTGTTACACACTGCATTTACTGAGCAGTTGTTTGTTGTTTCTGAAGCACATTCATTTATATCTATACACGAAATGGAAGAAAATTTTATCTTCGTAGCAAATGTCAAAAAAGTAAGATAGATTTATTAGTGGTAACCTAATATACCTCCGCATTGATCCCAGAGTGTCTCTATTCCTCCATTAATCGTGTTAAATCCATTTTTACATGTACATTCGAATCCACCAATAAAGTTCTTGCATATAGCATTAACTGAGCAGTTGTTTGTTGTGTTTGAAGCACATTCATTTATATCTATAAACGAAATGACACAAACTCATCTAGTATATCATTAAATGTAGAAAAGTAAGATAAATTTATTACTTATAACCTAATATTGCTAAGTGACTCTGCCATAAATGCAATCATTGGTTTGTTAATTAGAAAAGGCCTTAAGAACAGATATAACTAAGCAGAAGTTATTTAAAAAATTGAATCATGTATTGTTATTTTGTGTTTATTATTTATAGATATTGCAATTTTGATGTTATAATTTTACTAATGTTTTTCGAAATTATAATAAAATTTTGATAAAACAAAATTTTATTAATAAACTTAACCGCTTTTGCAGACTTTTTATTTTTACAACAAAAACGGACACAAAATTCATAGGAAACCTTTGTGATTTAGAATCATTTTTATTTAAATCTCTTTTTGTGAAAACACCATAAAAAAGTGCCACATAAATTACAAAAACCTTTTCAGATTCAATCATCTATCACAAGCTACTCATTTTATGCTACTACGAATTATATATCAAATCACGTGCTTTATTCTTAACTATATATAGGGTCAACCATTATCTTTAATTTATGTTTTACTGTTGTTGTTTTTTTACATATATAGATACAGAGTAGTAACTGTCTAATAAAACCTGCAATAACTTATCAAGAATTGAAATACCTTATTGAAATGTCTCTACTATCTTTCGATAAGCAGCCAATAAAATACTACAATACTTGACATGCTTAAAGTTTTTCGCTCCTACTAACTATTGCCTTTCTTTCGGCTATTCAATGATTTCCAATTCTTATATATAATTTGAAGAAAAACTAAAATAAATTATCAGTAGAAACTTAATATACCTCCACATAAATCTGACGGTGTCTCTATTCCTCCATTACTTGTGTTAAACCCATTCTTACATGTACAGTTGTACCCACCAACAAAATTGTTACATATAGCATTAACTGAGCAGTTGCTTGTTGTCTCCGAAGCACATTCATTTTTATCTATAAATTAAATTACAAAATCTCATGCCTTGTTAGTAAACGTGAAAAAGTATAACAAAATTTATTAGTAGTAACTCAATATACCTCTGCATAAATCAGCGATTGTCTCTAGCACTCCATTACTTGTGTTAAACCCATTCTTACATGTACAGTTGTACCCGCCAATAAAATTGTTACATATAGCATTAACTGAGCAGTTGTTTGTTGTTTCTGAAGCACATTCATTTATATCTATAAGAGAAATGATATAAAGTCATACCTTGTTCGTAAACGTGAAAAAGTATAATAAATTTATTAGTAGTAACTCAATATACCTCTGCATAAATCAGCGATTGTCTCTAGCACTCCATTACTTGTGTTAAACCCATTATTACATGTACAGTTGTACCCGCCAATAAAATTGTTACATATAGCATTAACAGAGCAGTTGTTTGTTGTTTCTGAAGCACATTCATTTATATCTATAAATTAAATTACAAAAATTCACTATATCTTGTCACTATTGTTGAAAACAAAGAAAAAATTTATTTGTGGTAACTTAACATACCTTGGCATTGATCTGAGGGTGTCTCTATTCCTCCACTACTAGATTTAAACCCATTTTTACATGTACAGTTGTACCAACCAATGTAATTGTTACACACTGCATTTACTGAGCAGTTGTTTGTTGTTTCTGAAGCACATTCATTTATATCTATACACGAAATGGAAGAAAATTTTATCTTCGTAGCAAATGTCAAAAAAGTAAGATAGATTTATTAGTGGTAACCTAATATACCTCCGCATTGATCCCAGAGTGTCTCTATTCCTCCATTAATCGTGTTAAATCCATTTTTACATGTACATTCGAATCCACCAATAAAGTTCTTGCATATAGCATTAACTGAGCAGTTGTTTGTTGTGTTTGAAGCACATTCATTTATATCTATAAACGAAATGACACAAACTCATCTAGTATATCATTAAATGTAGAAAAGTAAGATAAATTTATTACTTATAACCTAATATTGCTAAGTGACTCTGCCATAAATGCAATCATTGGTTTGTTAATTAGAAAAGGCCTTAAGAACAGATATAACTAAGCAGAAGTTATTTAAAAAATTGAATCATGTATTGTTATTTTGTGTTTATTATTTATAGATATTGCAATTTTGATGTTATAATTTTACTAATGTTTTTCGAAATTATAATAAAATTTTGATAAAACAAAATTTTATTAATAAACTTAACCGCTTTTGCAGACTTTTTATTTTTACAACAAAAACGGACACAAAATTCATAGGAAACCTTTGTGATTTAGAATCATTTTTATTTAAATCTCTTTTTGTGAAAACACCATAAAAAAGTGCCACATAAATTACAAAAACCTTTTCAGATTCAATCATCTATCACAAGCTACTCATTTTATGCTACTACGAATTATATATCAAATCACGTGCTTTATTCTTAACTATATATAGGGTCAACCATTATCTTTAATTTATGTTTTACTGTTGTTGTTTTTTTACATATATAGATACAGAGTAGTAACTGTCTAATAAAACCTGCAATAACTTATCAAGAATTGAAATACCTTATTGAAATGTCTCTACTATCTTTCGATAAGCAGCCAATAAAATACTACAATACTTGACATGCTTAAAGTTTTTCGCTCCTACTAACTATTGCCTTTCTTTCGGCTATTCAATGATTTCCAATTCTTATATATAATTTGAAGAAAAACTAAAATAAATTATCAGTAGAAACTTAATATACCTCCACATAAATCTGACGGTGTCTCTATTCCTCCATTACTTGTGTTAAACCCATTCTTACATGTACAGTTGTACCCACCAACAAAATTGTTACATATAGCATTAACTGAGCAGTTGCTTGTTGTCTCCGAAGCACATTCATTTTTATCTATAAATTAAATTACAAAATCTCATGCCTTGTTAGTAAACGTGAAAAAGTATAACAAAATTTATTAGTAGTAACTCAATATACCTCTGCATAAATCAGCGATTGTCTCTAGCACTCCATTACTTGTGTTAAACCCATTCTTACATGTACAGTTGTACCCGCCAATAAAATTGTTACATATAGCATTAACTGAGCAGTTGTTTGTTGTTTCTGAAGCACATTCATTTATATCTATAAGAGAAATGATATAAAGTCATACCTTGTTCGTAAACGTGAAAAAGTATAATAAATTTATTAGTAGTAACTCAATATACCTCTGCATAAATCAGCGATTGTCTCTAGCACTCCATTACTTGTGTTAAACCCATTATTACATGTACAGTTGTACCCGCCAATAAAATTGTTACATATAGCATTAACAGAGCAGTTGTTTGTTGTTTCTGAAGCACATTCATTTATATCTATAAATTAAATTACAAAAATTCACTATATCTTGTCACTATTGTTGAAAACAAAGAAAAAATTTATTTGTGGTAACTTAACATACCTTGGCATTGATCTGAGGGTGTCTCTATTCCTCCACTACTAGATTTAAACCCATTTTTACATGTACAGTTGTACCAACCAATGTAATTGTTACACACTGCATTTACTGAGCAGTTGTTTGTTGTTTCTGAAGCACATTCATTTATATCTATACACGAAATGGAAGAAAATTTTATCTTCGTAGCAAATGTCAAAAAAGTAAGATAGATTTATTAGTGGTAACCTAATATACCTCCGCATTGATCCCAGAGTGTCTCTATTCCTCCATTAATCGTGTTAAATCCATTTTTACATGTACATTCGAATCCACCAATAAAGTTCTTGCATATAGCATTAACTGAGCAGTTGTTTGTTGTGTTTGAAGCACATTCATTTATATCTATAAACGAAATGACACAAACTCATCTAGTATATCATTAAATGTAGAAAAGTAAGATAAATTTATTACTTATAACCTAATATTGCTAAGTGACTCTGCCATAAATGCAATCATTGGTTTGTTAATTAGAAAAGGCCTTAAGAACAGATATAACTAAGCAGAAGTTATTTAAAAAATTGAATCATGTATTGTTATTTTGTGTTTATTATTTATAGATATTGCAATTTTGATGTTATAATTTTACTAATGTTTTTCGAAATTATAATAAAATTTTGATAAAACAAAATTTTATTAATAAACTTAACCGCTTTTGCAGACTTTTTATTTTTACAACAAAAACGGACACAAAATTCATAGGAAACCTTTGTGATTTAGAATCATTTTTATTTAAATCTCTTTTTGTGAAAACACCATAAAAAAGTGCCACATAAATTACAAAAACCTTTTCAGATTCAATCATCTATCACAAGCTACTCATTTTATGCTACTACGAATTATATATCAAATCACGTGCTTTATTCTTAACTATATATAGGGTCAACCATTATCTTTAATTTATGTTTTACTGTTGTTGTTTTTTTACATATATAGATACAGAGTAGTAACTGTCTAATAAAACCTGCAATAACTTATCAAGAATTGAAATACCTTATTGAAATGTCTCTACTATCTTTCGATAAGCAGCCAATAAAATACTACAATACTTGACATGCTTAAAGTTTTTCGCTCCTACTAACTATTGCCTTTCTTTCGGCTATTCAATGATTTCCAATTCTTATATATAATTTGAAGAAAAACTAAAATAAATTATCAGTAGAAACTTAATATACCTCCACATAAATCTGACGGTGTCTCTATTCCTCCATTACTTGTGTTAAACCCATTCTTACATGTACAGTTGTACCCACCAACAAAATTGTTACATATAGCATTAACTGAGCAGTTGCTTGTTGTCTCCGAAGCACATTCATTTTTATCTATAAATTAAATTACAAAATCTCATGCCTTGTTAGTAAACGTGAAAAAGTATAACAAAATTTATTAGTAGTAACTCAATATACCTCTGCATAAATCAGCGATTGTCTCTAGCACTCCATTACTTGTGTTAAACCCATTCTTACATGTACAGTTGTACCCGCCAATAAAATTGTTACATATAGCATTAACTGAGCAGTTGTTTGTTGTTTCTGAAGCACATTCATTTATATCTATAAGAGAAATGATATAAAGTCATACCTTGTTCGTAAACGTGAAAAAGTATAATAAATTTATTAGTAGTAACTCAATATACCTCTGCATAAATCAGCGATTGTCTCTAGCACTCCATTACTTGTGTTAAACCCATTATTACATGTACAGTTGTACCCGCCAATAAAATTGTTACATATAGCATTAACAGAGCAGTTGTTTGTTGTTTCTGAAGCACATTCATTTATATCTATAAATTAAATTACAAAAATTCACTATATCTTGTCACTATTGTTGAAAACAAAGAAAAAATTTATTTGTGGTAACTTAACATACCTTGGCATTGATCTGAGGGTGTCTCTATTCCTCCACTACTAGATTTAAACCCATTTTTACATGTACAGTTGTACCAACCAATGTAATTGTTACACACTGCATTTACTGAGCAGTTGTTTGTTGTTTCTGAAGCACATTCATTTATATCTATACACGAAATGGAAGAAAATTTTATCTTCGTAGCAAATGTCAAAAAAGTAAGATAGATTTATTAGTGGTAACCTAATATACCTCCGCATTGATCCCAGAGTGTCTCTATTCCTCCATTAATCGTGTTAAATCCATTTTTACATGTACATTCGAATCCACCAATAAAGTTCTTGCATATAGCATTAACTGAGCAGTTGTTTGTTGTGTTTGAAGCACATTCATTTATATCTATAAACGAAATGACACAAACTCATCTAGTATATCATTAAATGTAGAAAAGTAAGATAAATTTATTACTTATAACCTAATATTGCTAAGTGACTCTGCCATAAATGCAATCATTGGTTTGTTAATTAGAAAAGGCCTTAAGAACAGATATAACTAAGCAGAAGTTATTTAAAAAATTGAATCATGTATTGTTATTTTGTGTTTATTATTTATAGATATTGCAATTTTGATGTTATAATTTTACTAATGTTTTTCGAAATTATAATAAAATTTTGATAAAACAAAATTTTATTAATAAACTTAACCGCTTTTGCAGACTTTTTATTTTTACAACAAAAACGGACACAAAATTCATAGGAAACCTTTGTGATTTAGAATCATTTTTATTTAAATCTCTTTTTGTGAAAACACCATAAAAAAGTGCCACATAAATTACAAAAACCTTTTCAGATTCAATCATCTATCACAAGCTACTCATTTTATGCTACTACGAATTATATATCAAATCACGTGCTTTATTCTTAACTATATATAGGGTCAACCATTATCTTTAATTTATGTTTTACTGTTGTTGTTTTTTTACATATATAGATACAGAGTAGTAACTGTCTAATAAAACCTGCAATAACTTATCAAGAATTGAAATACCTTATTGAAATGTCTCTACTATCTTTCGATAAGCAGCCAATAAAATACTACAATACTTGACATGCTTAAAGTTTTTCGCTCCTACTAACTATTGCCTTTCTTTCGGCTATTCAATGATTTCCAATTCTTATATATAATTTGAAGAAAAACTAAAATAAATTATCAGTAGAAACTTAATATACCTCCACATAAATCTGACGGTGTCTCTATTCCTCCATTACTTGTGTTAAACCCATTCTTACATGTACAGTTGTACCCACCAACAAAATTGTTACATATAGCATTAACTGAGCAGTTGCTTGTTGTCTCCGAAGCACATTCATTTTTATCTATAAATTAAATTACAAAATCTCATGCCTTGTTAGTAAACGTGAAAAAGTATAACAAAATTTATTAGTAGTAACTCAATATACCTCTGCATAAATCAGCGATTGTCTCTAGCACTCCATTACTTGTGTTAAACCCATTCTTACATGTACAGTTGTACCCGCCAATAAAATTGTTACATATAGCATTAACTGAGCAGTTGTTTGTTGTTTCTGAAGCACATTCATTTATATCTATAAGAGAAATGATATAAAGTCATACCTTGTTCGTAAACGTGAAAAAGTATAATAAATTTATTAGTAGTAACTCAATATACCTCTGCATAAATCAGCGATTGTCTCTAGCACTCCATTACTTGTGTTAAACCCATTATTACATGTACAGTTGTACCCGCCAATAAAATTGTTACATATAGCATTAACAGAGCAGTTGTTTGTTGTTTCTGAAGCACATTCATTTATATCTATAAATTAAATTACAAAAATTCACTATATCTTGTCACTATTGTTGAAAACAAAGAAAAAATTTATTTGTGGTAACTTAACATACCTTGGCATTGATCTGAGGGTGTCTCTATTCCTCCACTACTAGATTTAAACCCATTTTTACATGTACAGTTGTACCAACCAATGTAATTGTTACACACTGCATTTACTGAGCAGTTGTTTGTTGTTTCTGAAGCACATTCATTTATATCTATACACGAAATGGAAGAAAATTTTATCTTCGTAGCAAATGTCAAAAAAGTAAGATAGATTTATTAGTGGTAACCTAATATACCTCCGCATTGATCCCAGAGTGTCTCTATTCCTCCATTAATCGTGTTAAATCCATTTTTACATGTACATTCGAATCCACCAATAAAGTTCTTGCATATAGCATTAACTGAGCAGTTGTTTGTTGTGTTTGAAGCACATTCATTTATATCTATAAACGAAATGACACAAACTCATCTAGTATATCATTAAATGTAGAAAAGTAAGATAAATTTATTACTTATAACCTAATATTGCTAAGTGACTCTGCCATAAATGCAATCATTGGTTTGTTAATTAGAAAAGGCCTTAAGAACAGATATAACTAAGCAGAAGTTATTTAAAAAATTGAATCATGTATTGTTATTTTGTGTTTATTATTTATAGATATTGCAATTTTGATGTTATAATTTTACTAATGTTTTTCGAAATTATAATAAAATTTTGATAAAACAAAATTTTATTAATAAACTTAACCGCTTTTGCAGACTTTTTATTTTTACAACAAAAACGGACACAAAATTCATAGGAAACCTTTGTGATTTAGAATCATTTTTATTTAAATCTCTTTTTGTGAAAACACCATAAAAAAGTGCCACATAAATTACAAAAACCTTTTCAGATTCAATCATCTATCACAAGCTACTCATTTTATGCTACTACGAATTATATATCAAATCACGTGCTTTATTCTTAACTATATATAGGGTCAACCATTATCTTTAATTTATGTTTTACTGTTGTTGTTTTTTTACATATATAGATACAGAGTAGTAACTGTCTAATAAAACCTGCAATAACTTATCAAGAATTGAAATACCTTATTGAAATGTCTCTACTATCTTTCGATAAGCAGCCAATAAAATACTACAATACTTGACATGCTTAAAGTTTTTCGCTCCTACTAACTATTGCCTTTCTTTCGGCTATTCAATGATTTCCAATTCTTATATATAATTTGAAGAAAAACTAAAATAAATTATCAGTAGAAACTTAATATACCTCCACATAAATCTGACGGTGTCTCTATTCCTCCATTACTTGTGTTAAACCCATTCTTACATGTACAGTTGTACCCACCAACAAAATTGTTACATATAGCATTAACTGAGCAGTTGCTTGTTGTCTCCGAAGCACATTCATTTTTATCTATAAATTAAATTACAAAATCTCATGCCTTGTTAGTAAACGTGAAAAAGTATAACAAAATTTATTAGTAGTAACTCAATATACCTCTGCATAAATCAGCGATTGTCTCTAGCACTCCATTACTTGTGTTAAACCCATTCTTACATGTACAGTTGTACCCGCCAATAAAATTGTTACATATAGCATTAACTGAGCAGTTGTTTGTTGTTTCTGAAGCACATTCATTTATATCTATAAGAGAAATGATATAAAGTCATACCTTGTTCGTAAACGTGAAAAAGTATAATAAATTTATTAGTAGTAACTCAATATACCTCTGCATAAATCAGCGATTGTCTCTAGCACTCCATTACTTGTGTTAAACCCATTATTACATGTACAGTTGTACCCGCCAATAAAATTGTTACATATAGCATTAACAGAGCAGTTGTTTGTTGTTTCTGAAGCACATTCATTTATATCTATAAATTAAATTACAAAAATTCACTATATCTTGTCACTATTGTTGAAAACAAAGAAAAAATTTATTTGTGGTAACTTAACATACCTTGGCATTGATCTGAGGGTGTCTCTATTCCTCCACTACTAGATTTAAACCCATTTTTACATGTACAGTTGTACCAACCAATGTAATTGTTACACACTGCATTTACTGAGCAGTTGTTTGTTGTTTCTGAAGCACATTCATTTATATCTATACACGAAATGGAAGAAAATTTTATCTTCGTAGCAAATGTCAAAAAAGTAAGATAGATTTATTAGTGGTAACCTAATATACCTCCGCATTGATCCCAGAGTGTCTCTATTCCTCCATTAATCGTGTTAAATCCATTTTTACATGTACATTCGAATCCACCAATAAAGTTCTTGCATATAGCATTAACTGAGCAGTTGTTTGTTGTGTTTGAAGCACATTCATTTATATCTATAAACGAAATGACACAAACTCATCTAGTATATCATTAAATGTAGAAAAGTAAGATAAATTTATTACTTATAACCTAATATTGCTAAGTGACTCTGCCATAAATGCAATCATTGGTTTGTTAATTAGAAAAGGCCTTAAGAACAGATATAACTAAGCAGAAGTTATTTAAAAAATTGAATCATGTATTGTTATTTTGTGTTTATTATTTATAGATATTGCAATTTTGATGTTATAATTTTACTAATGTTTTTCGAAATTATAATAAAATTTTGATAAAACAAAATTTTATTAATAAACTTAACCGCTTTTGCAGACTTTTTATTTTTACAACAAAAACGGACACAAAATTCATAGGAAACCTTTGTGATTTAGAATCATTTTTATTTAAATCTCTTTTTGTGAAAACACCATAAAAAAGTGCCACATAAATTACAAAAACCTTTTCAGATTCAATCATCTATCACAAGCTACTCATTTTATGCTACTACGAATTATATATCAAATCACGTGCTTTATTCTTAACTATATATAGGGTCAACCATTATCTTTAATTTATGTTTTACTGTTGTTGTTTTTTTACATATATAGATACAGAGTAGTAACTGTCTAATAAAACCTGCAATAACTTATCAAGAATTGAAATACCTTATTGAAATGTCTCTACTATCTTTCGATAAGCAGCCAATAAAATACTACAATACTTGACATGCTTAAAGTTTTTCGCTCCTACTAACTATTGCCTTTCTTTCGGCTATTCAATGATTTCCAATTCTTATATATAATTTGAAGAAAAACTAAAATAAATTATCAGTAGAAACTTAATATACCTCCACATAAATCTGACGGTGTCTCTATTCCTCCATTACTTGTGTTAAACCCATTCTTACATGTACAGTTGTACCCACCAACAAAATTGTTACATATAGCATTAACTGAGCAGTTGCTTGTTGTCTCCGAAGCACATTCATTTTTATCTATAAATTAAATTACAAAATCTCATGCCTTGTTAGTAAACGTGAAAAAGTATAACAAAATTTATTAGTAGTAACTCAATATACCTCTGCATAAATCAGCGATTGTCTCTAGCACTCCATTACTTGTGTTAAACCCATTCTTACATGTACAGTTGTACCCGCCAATAAAATTGTTACATATAGCATTAACTGAGCAGTTGTTTGTTGTTTCTGAAGCACATTCATTTATATCTATAAGAGAAATGATATAAAGTCATACCTTGTTCGTAAACGTGAAAAAGTATAATAAATTTATTAGTAGTAACTCAATATACCTCTGCATAAATCAGCGATTGTCTCTAGCACTCCATTACTTGTGTTAAACCCATTATTACATGTACAGTTGTACCCGCCAATAAAATTGTTACATATAGCATTAACAGAGCAGTTGTTTGTTGTTTCTGAAGCACATTCATTTATATCTATAAATTAAATTACAAAAATTCACTATATCTTGTCACTATTGTTGAAAACAAAGAAAAAATTTATTTGTGGTAACTTAACATACCTTGGCATTGATCTGAGGGTGTCTCTATTCCTCCACTACTAGATTTAAACCCATTTTTACATGTACAGTTGTACCAACCAATGTAATTGTTACACACTGCATTTACTGAGCAGTTGTTTGTTGTTTCTGAAGCACATTCATTTATATCTATACACGAAATGGAAGAAAATTTTATCTTCGTAGCAAATGTCAAAAAAGTAAGATAGATTTATTAGTGGTAACCTAATATACCTCCGCATTGATCCCAGAGTGTCTCTATTCCTCCATTAATCGTGTTAAATCCATTTTTACATGTACATTCGAATCCACCAATAAAGTTCTTGCATATAGCATTAACTGAGCAGTTGTTTGTTGTGTTTGAAGCACATTCATTTATATCTATAAACGAAATGACACAAACTCATCTAGTATATCATTAAATGTAGAAAAGTAAGATAAATTTATTACTTATAACCTAATATTGCTAAGTGACTCTGCCATAAATGCAATCATTGGTTTGTTAATTAGAAAAGGCCTTAAGAACAGATATAACTAAGCAGAAGTTATTTAAAAAATTGAATCATGTATTGTTATTTTGTGTTTATTATTTATAGATATTGCAATTTTGATGTTATAATTTTACTAATGTTTTTCGAAATTATAATAAAATTTTGATAAAACAAAATTTTATTAATAAACTTAACCGCTTTTGCAGACTTTTTATTTTTACAACAAAAACGGACACAAAATTCATAGGAAACCTTTGTGATTTAGAATCATTTTTATTTAAATCTCTTTTTGTGAAAACACCATAAAAAAGTGCCACATAAATTACAAAAACCTTTTCAGATTCAATCATCTATCACAAGCTACTCATTTTATGCTACTACGAATTATATATCAAATCACGTGCTTTATTCTTAACTATATATAGGGTCAACCATTATCTTTAATTTATGTTTTACTGTTGTTGTTTTTTTACATATATAGATACAGAGTAGTAACTGTCTAATAAAACCTGCAATAACTTATCAAGAATTGAAATACCTTATTGAAATGTCTCTACTATCTTTCGATAAGCAGCCAATAAAATACTACAATACTTGACATGCTTAAAGTTTTTCGCTCCTACTAACTATTGCCTTTCTTTCGGCTATTCAATGATTTCCAATTCTTATATATAATTTGAAGAAAAACTAAAATAAATTATCAGTAGAAACTTAATATACCTCCACATAAATCTGACGGTGTCTCTATTCCTCCATTACTTGTGTTAAACCCATTCTTACATGTACAGTTGTACCCACCAACAAAATTGTTACATATAGCATTAACTGAGCAGTTGCTTGTTGTCTCCGAAGCACATTCATTTTTATCTATAAATTAAATTACAAAATCTCATGCCTTGTTAGTAAACGTGAAAAAGTATAACAAAATTTATTAGTAGTAACTCAATATACCTCTGCATAAATCAGCGATTGTCTCTAGCACTCCATTACTTGTGTTAAACCCATTCTTACATGTACAGTTGTACCCGCCAATAAAATTGTTACATATAGCATTAACTGAGCAGTTGTTTGTTGTTTCTGAAGCACATTCATTTATATCTATAAGAGAAATGATATAAAGTCATACCTTGTTCGTAAACGTGAAAAAGTATAATAAATTTATTAGTAGTAACTCAATATACCTCTGCATAAATCAGCGATTGTCTCTAGCACTCCATTACTTGTGTTAAACCCATTATTACATGTACAGTTGTACCCGCCAATAAAATTGTTACATATAGCATTAACAGAGCAGTTGTTTGTTGTTTCTGAAGCACATTCATTTATATCTATAAATTAAATTACAAAAATTCACTATATCTTGTCACTATTGTTGAAAACAAAGAAAAAATTTATTTGTGGTAACTTAACATACCTTGGCATTGATCTGAGGGTGTCTCTATTCCTCCACTACTAGATTTAAACCCATTTTTACATGTACAGTTGTACCAACCAATGTAATTGTTACACACTGCATTTACTGAGCAGTTGTTTGTTGTTTCTGAAGCACATTCATTTATATCTATACACGAAATGGAAGAAAATTTTATCTTCGTAGCAAATGTCAAAAAAGTAAGATAGATT